CTGTAAAATGGAGGCAGTGTTAGTACTCACTTCTTAGGATGGCTAGGAGCATAATGAGACTAGCACATAGTGAGCGCTCCATAATCATCACCTTAAGAAGTCAGCAGACCCTTCCAGACTCATTCTCCAAAGCAAGTGCTTTGGGAGGTACAGATATGTTGCTGACAGGTTCTTGTTTGGGGGGGGGGGGCGCCTAAGGTCTCCCTAGGCCAAGACAGTGAGACAAATGGGCACCTGCAGATCACTTGCAGAACTGGGAGTTCAGCCTTGACTCCTCATCCAGGGGACTGGTCCCCAGAAGGGCTGGGAGGGCCCATGGTCTTGCGCTGAAAACTATACATTTTGTGCTAGATTTCCTTATTTTGTGCTAGACACAGAGGAAGGCCATTTAATACACTAAGGGCCTGGGCCCATTATTGGGGTTCAATTAAGATTTGTGGGATTCACGAGAAGCTAATTTGAATCTTCACAAAAGCCCCATGAGCTTCGCTTGATTTACATACGAAGGAACTCAACGGGGGCTCCGACGACGCGTACTGTGACATCCGCGGGCGGGGAGCTAGTGCTGAGGGCTTCGGCAAGGCTGGGGGCGCAGAGGAGTTGAGATTCACATCGCCCCCGCCCCCTGTGCAGGCGCTGGGGCTGTGGAGACCCGGAGTCGCCACAGCTCGTACCCCGCCGGGACCGAGGAGGATGAAGGGACGGAGGAGGAAGAGCCCAGCCCTTTCCGGGGTCGCTCGCGCTCAGCGCCCCCCAACCTCTGGGCTGCCCTGCGCTACGGCCGCGAGCTCCGGAGGATGAGCGACGAGTTCCAGGGCTCCTTCAAGGTGAGCGCCGGCCCGAAAGCATGTCGGGATCTGTAGTTCCGGAACGCCTCTTCCCGCTCTAGTTGGACCGTGCCTGAGTCCCGTGGCATGCCGGTATCTGTAGTCCAGGTTGTGCTTCAGAAAGCTAAAGCTCCTGGGTTCCCCAAATCCTTGGGGCACGAGGCATGCTGGTATTTGTGCTCCCGGTCGGCCCCTTTCGGATATCCGGGTTCTTAGGCCTCAACTAAAGAATTACTTTTTTTTGAACTGCCCTCCAGTCTTCTAGATGCTAAGTCTCCGACTCTGGCGCTTACAGGGTCCTAGGCGTCCTCTCCCCGCACCCCTGGCATAGTGTCTAGGATCTAACCAGTCTCATTCCTAAGAGCCCAAGCGATCCTTCGAGCTTCCTAAAGTGGTCAGGAGGCCCCCTCGGTACACGGCATGCTGGAATCTACGGTCTTTAGGTCCGCCGCTTCTCAGCGGTGGGATTCCGGAGGTGGAGGGCTCCGACTCGGGATGCCAGGAGAAGCTAACTCATGTAACCCTTTCCTCCTCCCACCCCGAAGGGACTTCCACGCCCGAGGAGCGCGGGCACAGCGACGCAGATGCGGCAAAGCCCCAGCTGGACGCGCTTCATCCAGTCCTGGTGGGATCGGAACTTGGGGAGAGGAGGCTCCGCCCCCTCCCAGTGACCCGTCCCACAGCCCGAAACTCCCCGCTCCCGGCGCCGGCGGCGGCCATCTTGGGTGTGGGCGGAAGTCGTTTTGGCAAGACTTCTGCAAAAAAGAAGATCGGTCCTTTCCTTTTCGAAGGAGGCGATCTGACCCAAACCTGATTCTCTTCCGGTGTGTGCGAGGAGCATGGAGGGTTTGGGCTCTATCGGAAGTTTTGAAGTTTAGCCGCCCTTAGCCGCCGGAAATGGCCCCGTGACCCCGCCCCCGGCGCGCGCCAGCGCCAAGTTGCAAGTGCGGGAAACCCCAACTTCACCAGAACCCTCTCCTCCGCGGTATCGGTGCGGGCCATCGCTCGCAACGAAGCGTGCTAATAAAGCCCGTGTTTGTGCCGCCGAGTCTCCCCTCTCCGTCGCTTGGGGCTTCGCAGGCAGGGGAAACGCTAGCGCGGACAGTTCGAAAGATGCCGCCGTCTTACACATAAGGGAAAAGGAGGCTCTTTTTGAGTGACATCCTGGAACCGAGACCAGGAAGGGGTCCATGCTGCGACCAGAGCCAGGACTGCCTGGCCTCGGGGACCTCCAGGTCCTTATCTCTAATATGGTCATTGGGAACTGCAAGCCGGCCGGCCGCTGTTATTCCGCACCCTGCAAACCGTGTCGCCGTCCCCCGGGGAGGGTCAGTGGTTCCTATTTGGGTCAGTCCTTTCAAACAGCTACTGTGTGGTCGGCCTGGGGCCAGCTCTGTTCAGGGAACTGGCCGGACGCACAAAGCGGGGGAGGGGACGATGGAAGAAGGCTGGTCCCAAGAGCTGTGAATGGACTGATCACTAGGGAACCGAAAAGCTTCACCAGGACCTGGGAGCAGGGCTCCGAGCTCAATTCCAGAAAGATTTATTGGCGCCCCCTATAGACCAGCCAGCGCTTTGTAAAGAGTATACAAAGATGAATTAGGCCACAACAGCCCCGCCGCCGTCAGAAGCTTCCTGGCAGAGGTGAGCCAGCCTCTCAGAGTGGAGTTACCGCCAGCTGAGTGCTGTTAACAGGGACTGGTACCGGGGTGAGGGCCAGGGCAGAGGTGAGTTAGAGCTGGGACTTACTTAAAAAGAGAGATGGGGAAGGAAGCTGTCATTCCCAGCAGAGAAAAAGAGTGGAGCCATGAAAGGATATGGGGGAGCAGCAGAGGCCAGGATTCTGGGGTCTGGAATGTCATACCCAGGAGTTTGGAGTTTAGCCTGGCCTTTGAGGATCCGGGGACTAACATGGAGTGTTTCTTCTGTAAGGTAGTGGTGAGCCAAATCGGGAGGATAGGACTTGGTCACGGAATACGGGAATACGGTAGGCCGATCGGGGGACAGGACAAGGCCTGACCCCAGAAGCCGGGAAGGTCTGGACAATAACGGTATTAACCCTGAGGGAGCAGGGCAAAGGGGAGAGGCCCCCAGCCCTGGGAAGGGCCTTGCTCTGGCAGCCTTTTCTCTCTGGCCTCCCCGCCCTGTTTGCCTGAGGCTGCAGCAAAAACAAAGAAAGAAAACACTCAATTGGCAGGAGATAAGCCCAGATAAGAGGCTGCCTTCCTCTGGAGGAGGGAGGCAGTCGGCCCAGGAAGCCAGGAAGCCGGGAGAGGCCTTGAAGAAGTGCCAGCCTGACCCTGCAGCAGAACCTAGCCGCACCCTCGCTGCGGGGTCTCTGCCACTCCATGCTGTCCAGAGACAGGAGAGAGCAGCATGGAGCAGGTCCCCTCCAACCTGGCCGGAAGACAGTCTGCCATAGAAGGTCCAGGCCCGCCCTGCCTCCAGGTCAGGACATCTTGACTTAGCTGTGGCCTGGCACACGGGACTTCTGCTCTGGGCCTCAGTTTCCTCATCTGTAAAACAGGCATAACATCTCCCTCACAGGGATGAGGGGGATGCTGGGTCTCCCAGTCCCTGTATGCATCTGTGACTGTCAGCTTCCCTTCTCCCAAGAGTCCCTTGGGAGAAGGGTCACTACTAGGTCCACCCATTCCCCACCTAGCGTATCACCCGAGAGCCCAGGTCCGGTCCCCTGATGTCGGGCAGGTTCTGAGCTGACAAGGTCCATCCCCAGTTAGAGTCAACTGCCTGCGAGGGGCCCAGAACCGCCTCGTCGGAAGATGCTGGGTGCTTGGGTCATATCAGGCAACAGGAAGGGGGGGCAGGGAAGGCTTCCTGAAGCAGAGGCCTAAGCCTTTGTGAAGGGAGGACAAGAAGGGCCCAGGAGGGAGAAAAGTAATGAGAGGTGGGGGGAGGGGGGGAAGAAGCGATAGGCCCGAGACAGAGGACATAAAGGCGGGAAAGTGTGGGGGGAGGCCACAGGACCTCTAATGTCAGGTCACCGGGGAGATCTGCAGGCCCC